TATATTTTGGCAAATTTTTATTTTGATATCTTTTTCGTAAAAAATAAATGAAAACATTTCTAATATAGGTAATTCTAAGTTATTTTCTATTACGAACGTTTTGGTCATGTCCAATTCGTTCTTATTTATGTAAAGTACTGTAAAAAGGTGTTCGATAACTACATCTGGATCGAAAGGTAAAACTACTATATAGTATTTTCGATCTTTAACGGTTTTACTGCTAAAAATATTAAATTTATTGTACTGAAAGTCTACTTCTTCCTCTAGTAAATCGTCTATTATTTTATTCTGAAGGTCATATAGTTTATTTTGCCAGAAAAATGTAATTATATTTTTGTTAGCTTTGTCCAAAATTTGATTATTTACAAATTGAATTTTAGAATAATCAATGACTGATTTAGTTTTATAAGAATCTATAAAAGTTTGGAATTCTGTTATAATTTCTTCTAAAAGTTCGTTTGATATAGTACTTGTTTTAATACTAGGAGGATCTTCGACGATATCTGAGATATCAGGAGGATCTTCCTCGATATCCTCGATAGGAGGGTCTTTGTCTGTTTCTACGTTTGTCGTGTCATTATTATGATAAATTTTAGTTTGTAATTTAGAACATTGATCAAAATGATTAATTTTGATCCTTGAAAGAGCGTCAGCATTTTTATTTATTTTTCCCGGTTTGTATATGATTTCGTAATCATATTCCTCGAGTTTCAAGCGCCAGCGAGCGAGTCTACTCCCTGGATCTTTGATTGAGAATAACCAAGTTAATGGTCTATGATCGGTTATCAATTTAAATTTTCTACCGAACAAATAGGGACGAAAATGTTTTACGGCCCACACAATCGCAAGAAGTTCTCTTTCGATTGTAGAATATTTAGTTTCTGCAGCGCATAAGGACCGTGACGCATAGGCGATCGGAAGATCTTTGCCAATTGGTCCTTGCGACAGGATACCACCTATAGAATATGCACTGGCATCTGTCGTTAGTAGAAACGTTTCTTCAAAATTTGGATAAATTAAAATTGGTGAAGTTATTAAAGAGTGTTTTAAATGTTCGAATGCATTTTTACATTCGTCATTAAAAACAAAAGGAACATCTTTTTGTAGTAACCTATTAAGTGGTTTGGAAATTTTTGCAAAGTTGTGTATAAACCTTCTGTAATATCCAGCAAGGCCTAGAAAGGATTTAATTTCCTTTATATTTTTAGGTACTGGGAAATTTTTTACACATTCAACTTTAGAGGGGTTAGGCTTAACACCTTCTTCAGTGATTATGTGCCCGAGGTAAGCTACCTCTTTACGGAGAAACTCACACTTTTCCGGTTGAATTTTTAGATTCGCTTGTCGAAGTCGCTTAAACACTTCAGTAAGTCTACTGATGTGTTCGTGAATTGTAGGTGAATAAATGATTATATCGTCCATGTAGACGAGGCATCTCTCATTTTGTATACCTATTAAAATATTATCCATCACACGTTGAAACGTGGATGGCGCATTTTTCAGACCGAATGGCATACGTACGAACTCAAAATGTCCGTTTTCTACTGAAAAAGCAGTTTTTTCAATATCTTTTGGGTCAATCTCTATCTGGTGAAACCCAGACGCTAGATCGAGTGTCGTGAAGTATTGACATTTCCCTAATTGGTCCAATAAATCAGAAATTATCGGAAGTGGATATTTGTCGTCTACAGTTACCTCGTTTAACTTTCGGTAATCGATAACGACTCTATATTTTTGTTTCCCGCTAGCGTCAAGTTTCTTGGGTACCACCCACACACTTGACGACCATGGTGATGTTGAATGTCTAATTATACCTTGATTTAGCATGTCAGAAATTTGAGATTTAACTTCCTCTTTATGAATTTGGGGATACCTATACGATTTTGTATAGATCGGTTTGTTATCGTTAGTATTTATTGAGTGTTTAATTTCGTTTGTGAATGTAAGATTATCGCCTTCAAGATAAAAGATGTCTGAAAAATCTAAACATAAACTCGTAATTTGATCTCGTTCTTCCTCGTTGAGGTGGTCAAGTCGTAATTGATTGTTTATTTGGGTTTCTCTGTTGGGATTTAAATTATTCTTTTCATGTTTATTAAAATTATTTATAGAATAATGTTTAAAAGGTTCTAAGATAATTTGATCAAAATTTATAGTTTTAGGAATTGCGTTAACATTTAGTACAGATGTAAGAAATTCGCCTTTTTCGTTAACTTTTACTAGTGCATTAGGAAGTCTAACATTTTCGATAACTTGACCTATTAATATAGCGTCAGTATTTATCAGATTGCTTTTTAATCGACAGATTTTTTCTGTACGGGGTTCTATTGAGATTTCGTTATCAATAAAATCGTTTTTTATTATTGGTATGTTACTGTGATCCGGATTTTCTAAATCGCGGACTTGAAAGAGAGGAACAGTTTTGAAATTTGTTATGAGTTGTTTATTTTTGTAGTCAATAACACAATTATAATGGTCGAAAAAGTCGGAACCGAGTAAGCCGTCAAATTCTATATCCAAGTTGTGAATATAGACCTTATGAGGATCGTCTGTATTGAAAGGAATCAATGTGGATTCGTTTATAAGAATTTTTTGATCAGTTATGCCTTGAATTGTGAGATTTTCTCTTGACCGTCTTCTATAATTTTCGCAGGTTTTCGGTTTAAAAATTGATAAACCGGCGCCCGTGTCGATAAGAATATTGAATTTACTTGTGGCATCTTTTATATAAAATAAATTTTTTGAGTTTACAGTAAACGTGGGTTTCATATAAATTGTTGTTCCAGGCAATTTACGTTGGGGTTGCAACTGTTCAAATTCAGCGTTTGCATTTTGGGTTGCATGTTTTTTATAGGGTTTTGAGTAATTGAAATCGGAGGTTCGCCCTGTACAGGGCCAAACTGAAAATCCTGGTATGCAATGTTTTGATTTTCAAGTTCGGGATTAAAATTTGAATTGAATTGATCGGAATCATCATTATATTGACCGTTAGCAGTATAACAGTCGTTAGAGGGTACAGAAGATTCATTATCTTCGGACTCGAAAGTGTAATATTCGTCATCTTGATAATTCGAATCGTATTGACCGCTAGCAGTATAGCAGGTCTCATCGGTATAACAGTTTTCTTCATAGTTATCGTCAAAATATTCGGTTTCGTCGTAAAATTGATCATTAAAATTTAAATGATGCGTTTTTTGATTAATAAATCTATTTTGATTTGATTGCACAAAAGGGGGACGTTGGTTATTAAAGTTTGGATTAGGTCTAATTACTGATGGACGAATTTGTTGGTTACTAGTAGCATTTTGATTAAGCTGAAATTGTTGATTCGGTTGAAATTGTTGTCTTTGGAAATTTGGTTGACTTGAAAAGCTTTGGAAATTTCTCTGAGGGTTACTTTGGAAATTATTTTGAGAAGCAAAATGTTTTTGTCGACATTCGCTTACAATATGGCCAGTACGGCCGCAATAAGAGCATTTTTTTTCTTGTTGAATTGAAATCGGTTTGCGCGGAACATTATTTGGATTATTAGCGCGATTAAATTTTTGATTTTCGTAATAGTTTAATTGTAGTTCACGTTTTACTCGCATAATTGCAAATAAAATATCTGGAGGGTTACTAGCTCGTACAATTTGTCCGAGTTTCGGGTCTAGTCCAGTCAAAAGTGTATTAAGTGTCATAGTTTCGATTAACCTAGCTTGAGCGTCTTTTTGGTCAGGGGTTAACATTTGTTTGTAAATTGAAGCGTGCATTTTTGCGTTATGGCTTTGTAAACGCGTAATGAACATTAATGGAGATTCGCCAGGTAGTTGGCGAATTCTCTGCAGGTCGTGAATTAAGGCTGTTAAGTCTCTAGCGTCGCCGAAATGGGTTTCTAATAAATGTCGTATTTCTAGCCAAGTTTGCGGATTTCTAGAATTTATTAATTCAGAAGCTTTGCCGCGTAATTTATTTTTAATATGTAGAACGAGAAGTGCTCGCTGTTCGTCAACAGACATCCTATAGGCAGTACTACAGGATTGCACAAAATTTGCAAGAAAAATTGGATTACCATCATATTCTGGTACGATGGAAAATATTTCACTGAGTTTATAGGGTTCTATTACGTGGGGTACATGTTGAGCGGCACCGCCACCTTGAATATTAATATTATTTTGATTCGCGTTGTTTGCGTCATCTACGTTAGGGTTATCGTTATTCATTTTGAAAAATTATTAGTTATAGTAAAACACAAATTGAATAATAGCAATAGTTAAATAATCGAACAAGTTTTGTATCAATTAAATAAATTAAATTAATCGAGACAATTCAATTACTTACATGAATCGTAGCATCGATCTTCTATTCACGTCGTCTGCCAGGGGCTTCACTGGGTGTTCCGTCCGCAGAGCTCGATGAATTGGTTCTTTTTCTGGTTAAGGATGTCTCCACCAATGCTAGTTAGGGTAGCCGTGTTCTAGCACTGTTCGCAGAAATCCTACTGACTGCGCCACTTGTTAGATCGCATGGATCTAATTTAACTTTTTAAAAAAAGGTAATACTTGTTGAAGAATATATTTAGAACTATTACATGTTGTGTGTATAAGAAGTGAGTAAAAACTGAAGCATAATACAAAAGTGGTCCTATAAATAAGGTCGCATATGCTGACCTCAGCATCAGCAGAAGTGCAGGTGCATCTACGCTGCATTCTGCGAATGCTGTAACATAATATGTTTGTTAGAGAGGAAGTTGTTATCGCCTGTAATTTAATATATAAGATAAGCGTTATGAGACGCATATAACATGCATCTTTATACGTTTCGTACTGTGATTTGGTGAGATGTTCATTGATATAAATTTTCGTATTCCTTAAATTTCTTCTAGAGTTATATACTTTCATTCTCTTTATATTTGTTACGAATTTTACAATAATAGTTTTTGGCCTTTCTATATCAGTGGATTTTCCTAATCTGTAAACATTATATATGAGTCCCTTTTCTCAAATTTTATTTTTATAACTTCATTGATGAGTTTTATGATTTAAGTTGTCTTTGTTGTCTTCTTCATCAATTCTCAGGGCATTATTTTTCTGAGTTCCATCATATTGTTCAACTTTTTTATTTAATACAGCTATTTTGCATTCATTACTTTCTATTTTGTCAGACACCTCGTTAATGTAACTATCCATTTTATTAGGCGTGTTCTTAAATTTATCCAGTTTAGTTTCTAGTTTATTTAGTAATTCTTTATTAATATTTCTAACAGTGCACTCTCTAACTGCACTTGCTCCGCAACTATTGGTTCTACTTGCGAGCTTTGTAATTACTTTTACAATCTGCTTCCCATTGTATATTTTTCCGCTATAAACTAATGTTTTTCCATATGTTATTTTAACTATTTAATAATAATTCTTGTTCTTACAACACTGTAGTCCAATTTTCACAATTATTTTTCTCGACTTTACAATTTAAAACACCTATTATTTTGGGGGCTCAATAAACACGTGCTTACAGTCGAAATATTATGTTATGTTATGATCCGAGCTTTTTTAAGCTATTTCATAGCTTCTATCGCGGGCTTTGAGCGCGGCGACCGAATCAAGAAATTCCGTAACGACAAAAAAAATAACACCCCCACTCCGACCGGCACAGCGGTGCGGTGTTAAACAATATTAACTTCTCATTTATTTAATGAAAGAAAATCTAAAAATCTAAAAATCGAAAAATCGAAAAATCGAAAAATCGAAAAATCGAAAAATCGAAAAATCGAAAAATCGAAAAATCGAAAAATCGAAAAATCGAAAAATCGAAAAATCGAAAAATCGAAAAATCGAAAAATCGAAAAATCGAAAAATCGAAAAATCGAAAAATCGAAAAATCGAAAAATCGAAAAATCGAAAAATCGAAAAATCGAAAAATCGAAAAATCGAAAAATCGAAAAATCGAAAGATCGAAAAATCAAAAAATCGAAAAATCAAAAAATCGTGCATCGTCTAACGTCATTTCAGTTCGGTAGACTTCGGCATGGTGTTTGTGTGCGTGCGACTAGACGTATGCGTGTAGACTAGCTGCTAACTGCTCATAACTGATTCTCTCTTTTAGACACAATTTCAGAAAAATTTAATTTGAAATGAATAATGATCCACAAGAATCCACAACAAAATATGGGACCACCATTGACGCGGTATTTTCCAGATATTTAGAGGATATCAAGTCTCAAACTTATGTTTCTTATTTCAGTTACCATAAACCTATAGTTTCAATGATAAAAATTCCTGAATAACCTATGTGTGTGTGAAAACGAGAATTGTCTGCTTAATCTAGAATTAATTGATTTCTTAGTGGACTGCAAATTATTGTCGATTGAATAGTTTCATGAAATAAAACTGACATGTGAATGTTTCGAACGTTTTATTTAGACTAAAATATAAAATGCAGAGGACAGCGATACGCCGAATTGTTCGGAGCACAGGGTCGGTTTAGGCTCGTACATATGCCACTTTCAACAAATAAAGAATTAACATGAAAACATAGTTCAATTAACATTATGTAAACAAAACTTTCAAAAATAGTTTCTACTTAAAATTATCTTCAATAGTTAGCAAACAGATTTTTGCTACGGAACGCTTGAACAGATTACCGTTAGGCACTTTAACAGACACTACGCGCACACAATTGTCTTTTCCCTGGTGTACATCGGAAATTCTAGCCATGGGCCAGCGCAGCGGTGGAGTATTATCTTCTATTAGAATAACTAAGTCACCTATCTTTGGAGAAATGGAAGTGCTCCTTTTCCACTTATTTCTGGTCTGCAACGTGTTTAAATATTCACGTGACTAACGTGACCGGAACTGTTGCATTTAATTGTTGCATCCTATGATAGCGAGATAACCTGTTGGGTATGAAGTTCTGTACATCTTCTTGCGGCATAGCAACTAACGAATCGCCAATCAAGAAGTGAGTGGGTGTAAAAGGTAAATAGTCATTAGGATCAGCAGAGAGTGGGGAAAGAGGTCGGGAGTTTAAACATGCCTCGATTTGGGTTAGAACTGTATACGTTTCTTCGTAGGTAATTGAAGCATCACCAAGAATTCTCTTTAGGTGAAACTTTATCGATTTCACCGCTGATTCCCAAATACCTCCTTAATGGGGTGAGCGAGAAGGTATCATACGCCAATGGATATGATCAGAAGATAAAACACTAGAAACGCGTTTATTATGAACATTATTAATTAACAACTCGTAGTGCTCAGAAAGATGATTACGTGCACCCACAAAATTTGATCCATTATCAGAGAAAATTTCGTGAGGTTTACATCGGCGCAAAATAAAACGTTTCAGTGAATTTAAAAAACTATCTGTGGTTAAATCTCTTACTAATTCAATGTGAATTGCACGTACTGCAAAACATACAAAAATACAAATATATGCCTTGACAAGTTTACTGTTACGCAATGTTCCGTCCTTTATCAAAATTGGGCCACAGTAATCTAATTCACACCTTGAAAACGGTCTACTCGGAGTTACGCGATCGCTGGGTAAAAGATTTAAATTGTTGGGATAATGAATACGTTTTTTTGGAAATGCATGTAAAGGTAAATTAACTGTAATGACTGGTAAAACTAAAAAGGACAAGGTTACTTCAAAATCGTGAAATCAAGATTTTATTTTTGTAACTGTCTTGTGTTTAATATTAGTAACTCGTTGACTAATACCACCAATCGGTATACAGTAATCGATGCAATTGAGTTTTAATTTTTCACATATTGATTCAGTAATTAAATTTGTTTGACTAACCGAATCTAATAGTGCAGTACATTCGTGTACATTTCCCCCACCATCCTCAATTAAAACTGTTGCCAGTAGGGTACCTACCCCGGGAGTAAACAATTTCCTTATGGAGATTACCGTGTTAAATTTCTAAGCTTTTTCAAAATGGCGGACACCGTTCTGGACCAGGGCTTAAGATAATGGTAGGTAGATGGCGCAACATGATGGCTTTCTATTGATTCAGATAATGGCAGGTAGATGGCGCAACATGATATATTGGGAGAATCAAGCTTAACTAGGATTCAAGAAGAGTTTAGATGATGGTCATGTATACACACAGCTAGAGGTCGCCACCAGGTATAGTACGGGATGATGTTAATAACTATTACTTTAAAATCTAAATGATGTTTAAAATACTAGCATTTTTATTGTACTTAACTATTACATTAGAATAAATAATAAAATAATTTAACTCATGAATAAATAATCATCTATGACTCATAATAAGGGGGGGTATGCTTAGTAACTATACACTGATAGTTATCCTAGTCAACTATCTAACAATTCATATATTCCCACCTATTTAATTAAAACTTAAAAAAATATAAAATTGGAGAATGTTTAGATTCTCAGCTTTTAATTCTATTTCATATTATTACAAAATTATATCGTAAAAATTAGAAATTATATCGAAAATGGTTGAGCTAGGAATTTCTAGTTAAAGTTTTCCCTAGCAAACTATCTACCAATTCATATATTCCCAACTGTTTAATTGAAACTTAAAAAATATAAAATTCTAATAATCATCTATGACTCATAATAAGGGGGGTATGCTTAGTAACTATATACTGATAGTTATCCTAGTTAACTATCCAGCAATTCATATATTCCCACCTATTTAATTAAAACTTAAAAAAACATAAAATTGGAGAATGTTTTAGATTCTTAGCTTTTAATTCTATTTCATATTATTACAAAAATTATATTATAAAAATTGGAAATTATATCGAAAATGGTTGAGCTAGGAATTTCTAGTTAAAGTTTTCCCCAGCAAACTATCTACCAATTCAGATATTCCCAACTGTTTAATTGAAACTTAAAAAATATAAAATTCTAATATTCATCTATAACTCATAATAAGGGGTATACTTAGCAACTATACATTGATAGTTATCCTAGTTAACTATCTACCAATTCAGATATCCCCCAATTATTTAATTATAAACCACATTTTAAAAATTTAATTTTTTCCCAATTTAATGAAATAAAATAATACACAACATATTTAATTATTTATTTTTATTGAATCACCAATTATACCACACATACATAAAATCGGTTTAAGTTTTTAATTAATATTTTTATGGACATTTTCTATTCATAAAATAAAGTGCAATATAAATAATTCATTAGGGTTGATTAGCAGCTAAACTTTTCATAATAATAATAAATGTTCATCGATCGTCGCTGGCCTTTTAAGATGTCATTAATTTCTTTCATCATTATTTGGATTATTTAAAATCTGCTTAACAATCTAAACAAAAAAATGTATTTTAGTAAAAAATAAATTTATAAAAACATTGCTGCTATCGGCTAAGTAAAATTGTTTTAATGAACGTTCACAAAATTAATGAAAATATTTACATTTTATTATTATTAGCACATGTTATTATTATTAGTATTTTTTATTATGATAATAAGGTTCAAAAAATAACAATTTTACTTTTCACAGCGAACACCACGTGTAGGTTGCAGCAAACAGTTCGCCAGGTGGGGATGGGTTAGGAAGGAATAGGGGTTTAAACGGTTAAATATGGGAATCTTCATTTTATTTGGTTTTTAATTATTAAATCTATTATTATTAGTATTATTATTCTATAAATAATTTATTTACATTGTTTTCTCAAGATAAAGCAGTACTAATAATTGGCTTAATCTAAAAAGTTATTTTTTATTATCAAAAATAAAATTTTATCATATCAAAAATCTTACATGCATTTACCACGTTTCATATATCCAGAATAATAATTAAAATTATTCGTAAGAAATATATTATATAATATAAGTGATCTCAAGACAAGCTCAAATGTAACTCCATTAGGCTTTAAGAGCAAGTATTAATAAAGATTGTTTTCTTAAGATAAACAAAACAAATAATTGGGTTACCCTCAAAGGTTATTTTTTAATATCAAAATAAAATTTTTATCCTATTAAAAATCTTACATGCATTTAGCATGTTTCATATTTTGACGATAATGATTAAAAATTATTCACAAGAAATATATTCTCCACCTCAAACATTATTATCGTAATCATTACCAGGATCGTGTGATAGTTCAACACCTTAGATAATATTTAGAATCAACAAAAATCTATAATGTAAATATAAATTTAAAGTATTTAATATTGCAGATAAAATGATACAATTTGCAATCTTTTAAAAAGAAAATAAAAAAATAATAAAATAATTTAATTTTCATATTTATTTTCCCAACATCTTATACACTAGCATCGGATTAAAATATTATTTAATATTAATATTAGTTAATAATAATATAAGAGATAGAATAATGAAGCGTTTTATTTTTTGAGTGGAATCCTCGAGAAAATATTCACTTTAAATTAAATAATTTACTACTTAATTGCTAATCAAACAATAAACTTAACTATAAATCGTAATATATCATAGAATTTTTATTATAAATAAATTTTATATAAATTAATAGATTAGTAAGTCTATATACGATATATATTATGTTTATCAGCTGTTTAAAAATAAAAATATTGTTATATTGTTGAATATGTCTTTTTGTTAACACTGGAGAACAATAACAAAGCCTTCACAATAAAGTATTAAAGTACTGCATAATAATAAACTTTTAGTTCTAATTTGTAGACTACTACACAGAACACATTCCGTAATTCTAAAAACGCAGCATACAAATAAAAATTACTACGTAATAATACATCTTATCTTATATTTAATAAAATTTCACTCTTTGAAAAATTAAATCAATTATCTGTAAATGTTTATGGATTAGAATTAGTAGGAAAAAATTATAATGTGGTTCCATTAAGACATTAAGACAAAAAACAAATTAGAAAAACATATAAATTTACTTTTGATTCAAAATACTTATTTTCCAAAACTAAATGATTGTGATGCACCCGATCCAAATGATAATGAACAAATTAATATACGATATTGTTGGATAAAAAATTTATCTAGACTTATAAATTATCAACTAAATAAAAATGGCCATAAAAAATTTATTTGCGATAGATGTTTAAATTACTTTTTTAATGAAAATAAACTGAAAGATCATTCAGTTCTATGTCAAAAACTTAATGATTATAAAATTACGTTTCCAAAAGAAAAAGTGGTTAAATTTAAAAACTTTATAAATAAACAAAAAGCACCTTTTATGATTTATGCTGATTTTGAATCAATGTTATTGCCAATTAATGATAAAATAAATATTAAATCAACTAAATATCAAAAACATACTGCTTTTAGTTGCAGATATTATCTTAAATGTGATTATGATAATAGTTTATCATATTTTAAAAGTTATCGCGGTGTTGATTGTATGGAGTGGTTTGCAATTAAAAACTATAACAAATAAAAGATAAAGGAAATTATTAAGTATATAATAATTATCTATATATTGTTAATTAAACAATGCCCCCAAGGTAAAGTCTCATATGAATTAGGTATTAAAAATCGTTTATCATCATGAGCACTTAAAGCTACTTTTTGTTGGGTAATTGAATGCACTTGATGCTTACTGGAACGTATTAAATTTTGATTAACAACCTTCGACTTGGAACTTTCTAAACAGTTAATATAATCAGAAAAATGGATTTCTGTCTTAACAACTGATGACTTTACGCCCTTTGCCTTCTTCAAGATATCTAAATTTTCAACGATTTCTATGATTTCATTCTCATCATATCCTTCTTCATGGAGTCTTTTTCTTTTCTTCATAATATCAGCATTCGTTTGCATTACTCTTGTAGCATATAATTTAGATCTTAATCCTACATAGTCGGTCATCAATACTCCACTGTTTTCATCTTTCATTAGACCAAGAACTTTTTTATTTATTGGAGGGATTTCATATACATTTGGTTGAGGGTAGTCTGAGGTATCGAAATAAGTGTAGCAATCATTTTTAATGGCTATATAAGGATCTTGATTTCTAATTTCATAAATGAGAGAATCAGTATCTGTATAAAGAAGTGTAAACTCTTCAAAAGTTGATGTCATATATCCATAGTGAAAATTATAAATAGTCGTCTTCGCCAAATCTAAAATAACTTGTCCAGCGTAAATAGGCTTATTCAAGAATATTTCTAGCTTTCTTAGTTCAACAGCCACTAAGTTCTCATTAAATATAGCAAAATTCTTAAACTCAGGTTTACTAATGTAAGCTTCAGCACCATAACGACCATTCCATTTAAATAAAAGCTTTACATTAACTCGTTTTCGCAAATTTTCCATCGTTTTTCCTATATCAATGGATAAGTAATACATATTATATATATATATATATATATATATATATATATATATATATATATATATATATATATATACATATAATAAAATTAAAGTCTGCTTACCAAATACTCCATTATTCATAAGCTTGAAAAGATTTTTCTCGAACTCGTTTTTCGATTCCTTACGCAATTCGGTGTTGAGCTCGATATAACTCTTAAGCCAGGGTGCTTGTTTAAATTTCAATACACGATGAATTTTTTTTAATATCAACCCTTGATCTAAAGCTTGCTTCAAGGTGCGATAGTGAATTACATACTTTATTTTTGAATTAAGTGTCGCCATTAATTTAGTAAGCTCCTTAGACGTTTTGGGGGGTAAATTTGTTTTCGGATTAATATGCTCAGAACAAAAAGGTAAATCTTTATGACTATCATGTAGTACTTCTGGGTACTCTAAATCGACTTCTAAAATATATCCAAAAGGAGCATCATCAGGGATGGAGATTACATCAATGTTAGTATTATCCCATTCGAACCCTCCATAAGGTAGAAACTGAGACATGGCCCATTCATACTGATTATTAACATCAAAGTACATCAAATAATTGGTAGGTTTGGAAGAATCATAATTCTCTATATATTTATTGTTGGCGTGAGCCCGCCTTTTTGTGCAAACTTGGCTAAGTCCTCCTCGAATACCACTTTCAACAAACATAAACATATCAATATCGGTCAATAGATCTAATTCCTGTTTTGTATATTTTAGCATAGCATCCCATGTAAATCCAGGTAAAGTATAATAATGAGCAGGATCGAGACCATATGTTTTGTGGCAGCTATTACGAAACCTTTCAAACACGTCTGCTAGAAGCATAATATCCGTCTTCATATATAAGTCGACGTATTGACCTAGATTTCGACAATTAAATTTGCTCCATATTTCCTGTGCTCGAAGGTAGAGTCTATGTGGGCAAGGCTTATCATCTAACTTGTTGTAAAATAATTCGATTGGAGGCAAGCAAGTTTCTTCAAATCGTTCAAAAGAGTCTATATAATCATATGGCATTACACCTTTTTTAGTTAATAGATTCAGCTGTTCCTCAGATAACTCCCAAAACTGAATCTTTAAATTAGGAAATTCTTCTAAATACGAGGCGAGTTTATCTAATGAAGAAGCCATAAATCGAAAACTATCGATAAATCGAAATTGAATGGGGTATTCTTCAATATGTTTGGTAAAGGAGATATACTTTTCTTTGGTGATAGGTAAGAGATCAATATCTCCCTTAATTCGAGTTGCAATGTCTGTAATAACAAAATGTGCATCATATCCACTTAAATTATGAAAAACTATCGAAACAACATGGCTATCCTGGTAATTAATATTGCAACCTTCATGGGAACTACCTCTAAAATTATTTGTAGCTAAATAATGTATGTGGTCTCTAACCTTTTTATCACCAGGGGCGAATGGTTGTTCACATATATGACAATGAGATGATTTTTTAAATTCAGCTTCCTCAGTAGAAGTCATGTCTATATCATACGGGCACCAAAATACGGGTGCTATATCTTCAGCGAGCTGCAACATTTCATCAGCGAACCATTTCATGCAGTTGTCACCTCGATATGATCGATAAAATGATAAAGAATCATCATAGGAGCACTTGAAATAGTATCCAACAGCAGCAGGTATGTGATGTTGGGGTTTAACAGGATTGTTAGTCTGTTTAAGAATACTCTCAAGATCGGCATATACAATAAATTGCGTTTTTTCCTTGTTTTTAAAGTTCTTATTCTTATTTTAGTCTCATTTATTTTTTCACAATCTTTAATATGTATTTTTAACTTTGATTCTAAGCAAAAATAATGGAGGCATCGATCACAAAAGTATTTTTTGTGTTCATCTTTACTCATCTGGCTCGAGAGAAGTCTAGACATATTTTTAATCCATACAAAATGATGATTCACATTATTTTCCACATGATCACCATCATAATTATCTTTAATAAGCAATAGGTTAACGTGTTGATCTTTCTTATTGTTTGTTAAATATGTGGGAAGAGTAATTAAATTAGATTTCAGTTTTTTCAAAATGTATAAATTAATGGAAACATTGTTCTGCTTCTCAAAATTTGGTATCTGTCTTTCAGTCATAGGGAAATGAATTCCTTTAAGTTTTAAAATCGATGAATAATGCGGATACGATGAAACCATTTGTTGATGATTTTTAGCGGGATGTAACGCAGATGTGACAGCCCATGCGAAGCAAGCTTGGTCATAATTCTTGACGTTGATACATGCATGTTTTTTAGCTATTTGAGGAGGTAGTTGGATATAGGATGAAACGCGTAATGGGCTATACTTGCTGATATTCACAACTAAGTTTTCGACCTTTTTTAATGCCCAACCAGAGTCACGTTCTTGAAACTCCTCTAAATCTATTAAAATTGGCTTTATAACCTTTTCATCAAACCATTCATTTATTTTGGTGTTCGTATAAATGGGGCAATTTGCAGTTGTAAAATATTTGAATTCTTTAAGCAAATTATCACCCTTCATAATTTCAAATTCTCCAGAGAATACTACATTAACCTTTACTGATTTTTCTTTTTTTAAAATATTCTGTATTTTTCTAATAAATATAATTTTAGCATCCTTCAGAAAAAATTTTGGATCCTTATGTTCCAAATTGCTAATGACTCCAGTTGTAAGTCTGCTTTTAAAAGCTGATTCTGAATCAGCCCAACGAACACGATCCTGTACATAATTAAAATGCATATTAAGCCCTCCTCCTTTTTTTATAATTTCCTTTATCATAGTACGACGAGATGTAATATTATTCAAACAAGACTGAAAATGATGTTTTTCACCAAAGGTTTTTGCATTTTTGAACGCGTTTTTAGCTTTAATAATGCCTTTCTGACACTCGAATAGTCCTATATGAGCAACTTCATCATCATATTCTTTAATTAACACAGACAAAAACCCATCTATATAACGAACCAAATCATCCAAACGTACCATAGCTATAAATTAAATGTTCACAATTACTTCCACTTGAGGGAATTATCTTATCGTATTGTTTAAGTATTATATCTATTGCTAATTAATTGTTCTTGAATTTGTTTGTTAACCCCAAATTAATACTAGTATAACCATATTTACATAATAATCATACATTACGATTAGAATAAATAAATTAAAAATTAGATTTTATTAAATATAAAATTATGTTATTTCTCATTTAATAAATTAAAAAAATGTAAATTATGTAAATTGGATGTAAAACTTTTAATATCTTTTTTATAATAATAAAAATTTAAAAAAATTCATGCTATTTAATAAAATTTCTGTTTAAATAATAAATTAAAATTACCTTAATAAAAAACACTGAAATAACTACTTTCACCTTTTATGAGCAATAACTTACCAAATGAATATAACTAAATCTTTTATACCTTTATTAAAACAAGCGTAGGTTTCAATTTGTATTGTTTATTTATTTAATAATAGCATTATCATTACCAAGGCTAACATTAGGTAAAATACTCAAGCTAAGTTAAAAATAGCAGTTTATTTTTAAAATTATTTCTATAAATAGCTATTTTATTATAGATTTCTATTTTTATACATGGCTATTTTTATAAATGTCTATTTTTATGGGTTTATTTTTAAAAATATTTATTTATATAATTTACTATTAAAATTAGTTTAAAAATAAAATTGTTTATTTTAATTTATTTAAAAGTACATATTTAAACGTAAAATACTCAAGCTAAGTTAAAAATAGTGGTCTATTTTTAAAATTATTTCTATAAATAGATATTTATTATGGATATCTATTTTTTCATACATAACTATTTTTATTGTTGTTTATTTTAATTTATTTAAAAGTATATATTTAAACTAATGTCTTTAGATCATTCTATTTTTAAAACTAATGTCTTTAGTTCATTCTATTTTAAGAATTATTTCTATAAATAGTTATTTTTTATGAATCTATATTTTTATACATGGCTATTTTTATAAATGTCTATTTTTATAGGTTTATTTTTAAAAATATTTATTTAAATAATTTACTATTAAAATTAGTTTAAAAATAAAATTGTTTATTTTAATTTATCTAAAAGTATATATTTAAACGTAAAACACTCAAGCTAAGTTAAAAATAGTGGTTTATTTTTAAAATTATTTCTATAAATAGATATTTATTATGGATGTCTATTTTTTATACATAACTATTTTTATTGTTGTTTATTTTAATTTATTTAAAAGTATATATTTAAACTAATGTCTTTAGATCATTCTATTTTTTAAACTAATGTCTTCAGTTCATTCTATTTTAAAATTATTTCTATAAATAGTTATTTTTTATGAATCTATATTTTTATACATGGCTATTTTTATAAATGTCTATTTTTATAGGTTTATTTTTAAAAATATTTATTTAAATAATTTACTATTAAAATTAGTTTAAAAATAAAATTGTTTATTTTAATTTATTTAAAAGTATATATTTAAACGTAAAACACTCAAGCTAAGTTAAAAATAGTGGTTTATTTTTAAAATTATTTCTATAAATAGATATTTATTATGGATGTCTATTTTTTATACATAACTATTTTTATAATTGTTTATTTTAATTTATTTAAAAGTATATATTTAAAGTAATGTCTTTAGATCATTCTATTTTAAAAATAGTTTTTATAAATAGCTATTTTGTATAAATGTCAATTTATGTATATGACTATTTTCATAATTGTTTATTTTAAACGCTTTATTTCTAAAAATATCTATTTATATAAATTATTTTAAAATTAGTCTAAAATAAAATTGTTTAATTTAATTTATTTAAATGTATATATTTAAACTAAGGTCTTTAAATCACTCTATTTTAAAAATTATTTCTATAAATAACTATTTTGTATAAATATCTATTTTTATACATGTCTATTTTATAATTGATTATTTTTAAAATTAGTCTAAAATAAAATTGTTTATTTTAAATTATTTAAAAGTATATATTTAACTAAGGTCTCTATATCGATATATATATATATATATATATATATATATATATATATATATATATATATATATATATATATATATATATATATATATAAATTATTTCGATAAATAGCTATTTTTTATGAATGGCTATCTTTACATATAAATATTTCTATAACTGCTTTTATACCTTTATTTTTTAAAATATTTATGTATATAATTTATTTTTTAAAATTAATCTAAAATAAAATTGGTCATTTTAATTTATTTAAAAGTATATATTTAAACTAAGGTCTTTAGATCATTCTATTTATATGGATATTTTTAGACATAAAAATATTTGTTTTCTCGTTACAAGCCAAAATTACTCTTAAATCCAACTTTTAATCTATTTTTTATGTATTTATATTTTTATTTTGTATTTCAACACTTTTTAGATATAATATGTTTATGAGAATGAGGTTTTTAAGTGAACTTCTTTTTACTTCTTGCAAACTTTTGCAATTAATTTTAGTTGAATGCCTTAAATTTTTAAAAACCAATGTTATAACATATTTGTAGTTTTAAAATTATTAATTTAGAGTTAAAAACTATATGGGCTAATAGAAAAACAAAACTATTATACACTTATATTTATTTTTTAATTTTTTATTTTAACTCGAATTTTTTATAAAGTTCGTATATATTATTAAATATTTTATTTTTTTCATTTAAAATCTCTTCGGTTCTTTTCTTCAACTTCTCCAATTCCATCTCCTTCTGTTTTTTCAGGTGTTCTTTTTCTTCACCTTCTTTAGTAATATCCTTTAGTTTTTCGACCAGCAAACTAATTAATTGAGCGTTTTCATAGTAAAAATTGTATTTAGCATTTAAGTGAATCCTCAGTTTTTCAATAGCATCATCTGAAATTTGCTGAAATGTTGGAGTTTCCTGAGGAGTAAGCAAAGTTTTTTGTAGATGGTGCCTCTATAAATTTAAAAATTATTGAAATACCAGTTTATTATAAATTTTATGTAACTTACTAATTTATTTTTAACTTCTGAAGATCCATGTTTTTCATTTAAAGGGGGGGGGGGGGCGATAATTGGGTATATTCCCCACTAATTGATTACTTAAATTTAGTTCCTCTAAAGCTTGTTTGGGGTCTGTAGACGTTTGTTTGTTATTTATAACTTCAGAAAAATTTAAAAATTCTTCAATATCTTCTAACTCATCGGTTAAATCAAGAATTTCTTCCTAAAAATAATAAAATGTGGGGTTTTATAATTAAAATATTTAATAAAATTAGTTAAAAACTAAATATTAGAATAACATATAATAAATAAACTTACATTGTCATCAACTTTTTCTTCCACTTTTTGTAAATTAACTTCAGGTAAAATTGACGATAATTTACGTTTTTTATTAAAACCACTAGATTTTTTTTTTTTTTTTAGTTCAATATTAGATATTATATTGATGTTTGCTTTATGCATTTTGAAAAATTAATAAAAAAATATAAAATTTTTCAGCCTATTTATTACTAATAATTATCAGTCAGTTTTAAAAATACCGTTTTGAAAGATTATGCATACAATGTTAAATGACCAAAAATGCAATGTCAAATTCAGAGGTGACTTATTTGGTTAAGGTAATAATAGAAAAAATATTTTTAGCAACCTGTTGTGCGATAAAAAGAGTAAAATTCAATGTCAAGTTTACGGTTAGATAATAAAACACCTTTATAGAAATCATACTAATGGATCATGTAGCATTTCATTAGACAACCCTACATAATTTTAATTATAAATTATCCAATAAAATATTTAAAAAAACGCACTTAGATTATTTTTTAATTAGGTTCCAAAAATACCGAAAATTTTTTTACTTAAATTTAAAATCTTTCAAAAACAACGAAATTTAATAAGTTCACACTTTACGTCCTTGAATGAATTCATTAAATTTTATTGTAGGATAGACATAATGATAGACATTCGAAAGGATAGAACATCGTTAGCTTTTTTATTTGATAAGACATTATTTAGAAGAATAATTAGTACCTAAATTTAAATTCCATCAAAAACAGCGAAATTTAATAAGTTCAGCCTTTACGTCCTTGAATGAATTCATCAAATTTTATTAAGGATTAAACGACTTACCTTAAGGAAGTTCAATCCCAATTATACGATATTGGACACGTCCTCCTAGATCACCATGTAGTTTACTTCTTATCACTGTTGTATGCGCAAGTTTAAAGAATGATTCACTCATACCTGACTGACTGCTCCGAACCTCTTTGTACTCATTATACTTCGCAAGATCACCTCTGGGTTGGGTGTTAAATATTATTTTTTATTTTATTATTTTTTATATTATTTTCCATTTAGGGGTGGGTTTGATCTAGGAGGACGTGTCCAATATCGTATAATTGGGATTGAACTTCCTTAAGGTAAGTCGTTTAATCCTTAATTATACTTCTATTGGACACGTCCTCCTAGATCACCATGTAGATGTTTAGAGATAGATGGAGGTGATCTTATACCACGAATAGTTTTGTATCTGTTTAATAAATTTTCTTTTAACATTCAATATTAAATTTAACATTTTTGACACAATCTTACTTAGAAAAATTAACAAAATATTAACATTTAATCTAATTATAATATATAATATAACAACATAAATTTAACAATTTAAAACCCTTATTTCTTATAACAAAGGTGTTTCTTAACAACTAAATAACTATTATTTTGTACACACATTTTTTGTCATTATCTCTATATAGCTTGAAAATGTTGCATTTTTTACATTCACAGGTCTGTTGTAAAATTTGCAAAATGTGTTTGACTTTTCAGACCAGCCTGCTGAATTTCTGATAATTTCGATATTTATCCCAGACCTTAATGCAGCCGAGGCTGCAGCATGCCGAGTGCTATGTCCCTTAAATTTGTCTGTGTTTATGTCGCTCATTTCTAATCCGTTTTTTATCCATCGGCTAAGCGTTTGTGTCGTAGCATGATGGTAAGGCTTTTTTG